TATGGTGGTGGCTTCTTGATTAGGAATTGGGTATACCGCAGGCCACTTGCTAAAGTAGTCCATCACAACTAAAATGTACTTATTTCCAGATTTAGAACTCGCTTTTCCGACTCCCGGAGTTTAACCTCTTCTGCACTCGGTCGCTCCTGTCACTTTTCTTTCCCTGTCTAGTTCTCGTCGTCGCTTATATAGTTTCCTCCATATTCTTGTCAGTGTCATATTTGACAGTAACTCAGTAAATGGAGCGCCATTTGGGCCTCATTTACTGAAATACCATGCATTTCGATCCCCCATTCCAAACGTAAGTACCCCAGGCCATTTCCGTTACAATACCTTAGAATGCTTCTTTTTCTTCACTGCTAAGATAATCAGCACACTTTGGAAGCTTTGTATCTAACTCCAATGCAAATTTACTATGCTTAAATACGGTCCCCGCATCTGTCTAATTTGTGACGTCACCACTTATGAGCGTATTGCAACTTAGATTACGTACTCATCGAAACAACAAAAACACAACACCATTAGCACAAATAGCAGAAACGTTCTTCTTCTTTTAACAGAAATAAACGTATTTTAATAAGTAGTAACGTTACGGTCCACTGTATTGAAATGGAAAACGGCAAAACCGAATAATTCGGCGTTTTTTCGAACGCTCGTAACGTTATTTTTGGAGCTGGAGCGCTAAAATTTTGATCCAAAGTAGAGATTATAATGTTCTTTATATGCACTAAAGGCGCGTGCTTTTGGAATATCAGTTTTCTTAAAATCGCGGTTCAAAATTTGCAGTGCGCCTTTTTTCGGTAAGCCTGTATGCGTTCCGGTAAGTACCGATTCTAATTTTAAAAAAGTTATGAAAAGTTGATATCGTGCACTACAGAACGTACATTTCCGTTTTTCGATCAAATGCCTGGAAGCATGCTAAAAACCGTCGTAAAGTTCGCGAAAATCAGCCGAGCGCGCTCTTACAGTCAAGTGGTAAAATTTATACTAAAAAAGTATCGCATATGGCGCGAACTTAAGCAGACGCACTGTTTATTAAATATAAAACGAAAAATGGTTGTTTCAGGATCGTCTGGCACATTTGAAGCAACAATGCCAACCACACCTCACTGAAACTGTTCGGACGTCGGTTGAGGGCATTTGCCTGAAACTGTACAACCTGTCATGCGACTATGCCAAAAAAGTGCGAGAGAAATCCAATAGCATCTTGAAAGAGCATTCCATGGAATTACCGTCCCAACCATTCACTTCACAGACGCTGCGAAAGGTAGGAGCCGCAATTTTTAATTACTTTCTAACCCTCCTGTCTGGTTACCACATCAAATTGATCAGGTTTTTGTTTGTTCAGGTCTGGTGCTATCCGGTTCAGTTTGCGATTGGTTGCCCCCGTTTACCAGTTGTAGAATACCTGCCAGATCGAGACCAAGCCATGTTGCGCTACCAAAGCGATACTCTCGCGATTAACAGTTTGTACCTGCAGAAATTGGTAAGTCATTTGTTAGAAGTAATGTTTGCTACTCTCAGGTGTCCGCAGGACCGGGTTCGTACTCATTAGCTCTATCAGCTGGACTTAGAAACACATCGGGGTTGTATTTCCAGGCTAAATCTAGCCGATGAGAGCGAATAGGCTCGAAACCGATCCTGGGGGTGCCTGAGAGCACTGGAAATATGTGCAAGGTTTTGTTCGGATATTTCAGCGCTCCACTGCAGGAGCTGATTGGAAGGTTTTCAGCAAGTTGTTCATATGAAAGTTTCCTATTTTAGTTGTATTATCGACATTTTTGGCATGAAACGCAAAATGGGTTTCTCCGAAATCGTAAGAGATACGAAGTCGGAATTAGGAAAAAGTTGCGCAACCAGGGACATTGTTTTAAAATGCCTTTTCAGCAGAATCTGTAATATAATTTATCAAGGAATTTAGATCCGAGCTTAGAAATCTTGTCAGATGTCAAATTTGACAGTTTTGATGACAAATGTGATACATTAAAAAAAAAGAAAAAAGTTGTTTCTGTGGTATTTGATGAAATGCCGTTATAGGAACGTCTCTCTTATAAATTCATCTCAAGATACAGTCCGCGACACTTGATTACTCTCACCAACAGATTTGAACTAATTTTTGTTAAGTCAAAATTTTTACAAGCAAGCCAGATGTATCATTGGATGCAATGTTTTAATGGTATTCTTCCAACAATTCGGTTAATTCACTCGTATTTCACAATGGAGAAATTGTTAGAAGCAACTATAATAATTGATAGTGTGACACTTGATTCACTTTTTAGAATGGTAGGTTGGCTAGGCAAATAGAATAAACAAAACCGTGTCACTTGTCAACCGATTGACAGTTGTCTAATAGGAATTTGAGTATATTTGAGTGTTCTAAAAGTGATTGGTATTGATATGGGATTCGGTAAAACTTTATCGTTAGAAGAAAGAGGGCGAATTGAAGCTTATCGACAGGAGAATTATTCAAAACGAGAAATTGCAAGAAAAATCGGGTACAGTTCATGTGTAATCAATGCTTATGTAAAAGACAGCGAAAACTACGGAAATAATAGACAAGGACGCACTCAACTGCAACAACACTGAGGGAACGTCGTGTAATTTTTAGACTTGCATCCCATTCTTCGTCAACAGATAGACAAATAAGGGATCGAAATGGACGTAATGCATCCGTACGAACTATCCAAAAGGTAATAAAGAAATGTACAAACATTAAAAAGAAGAAAACTACGCAAGAAGCCTTTGCTTCTTGCACGTCATGGGCAAGAACTTTTAGAGTTTTCACGCATTTACCGTAACTGGACAGAATAATGGAAAAATGTCGCTTTCACGGATGAAAAGAAGTTTAACCTGGATGGTCCTCATGGTTTCCAATATTACTTTCATGACGTAAGGATCGTAGAAATGTTTTTTGGAAGAATTAACAGCCGCTGATAGAGCAGTCTGGGTCGAAATTCCAGTGAATCTAATAGAAAATTTATTGAATTCATTGCCTCATCGAATGTTAGCAGTAATTGAGAAGCAGGGAGGGCATACCAATTATTAAAATGAGTATTAGGTTTAAATGTTGTGTTCTAGGTTCATTCCAAAATATGAGAGTAATCAAGTCTCATTAAAAATTACAATATTGGCTTTACAAATAAAAATCAATTGTAGAATACGAAAGTGTAAAACAAATTATTAAATAAATATTGTTAAAATCTTTAATCTAGTGTTTGATGTCGCTTACTAATGAAAATTTTTAGCATTAGTGAAAACTACTCAAAATTATTAGGTGGGAGAAATCAAGTGTCGCGCACTGTATATTCGATGGATTGCAGAATTTTGGCACTCACAAGCCACATTCTTTCAGAATTAGCAATCATGCAATGGTTATAATGCTTGTTAATTTTAAGCAAGTAGTGGGTTATTTTTTAAGTAAGGAAGCATTGCCAGGAGATGTACTTAAAGAAATAATATTAGATTCTATTCTATTCATTCTATTCTATCTATTGAAACAATTTCAGACACTGGTTTTCTTGTAAAGACGGTAGTATGCGATTTAGACACTAACAATGTAAAAATGAGGAAACTACTTTCTGTAACAGTTGAGAAACCATATATTAATTTTCGCAAGGACAGACTATATTTTTTCTACGATACGCCACATTTACTGAAATGTTTGCGAAATTATTTAAAAAAATATGATATTCAAAGTAAAAATGAAGTTTATTCGTGGTCACATATTCAAAATTTTTTTGAGTTAGACTCAAATAAAATTCCAAGAATGGCACCAAAGTTATCAAAAAGGTGTATTACGTTGCCTCCTTTTAGCCCTATGAGAGTGTGTTTAGCAACTCAGGTTTTAAGCCACTCGGTTCATGTTGGTATTTCTAATGCAGTACATACGGCAAATTTTATATCACAAATTGACACGCTCTTTGATATTTTTAATTCTCCATTTAACAATTATTAAATATACAGGGTGATTCAAAATTGGCGTCATTCCTTTGGAGGTGTTGTCTGGCGCTGTTATAGGAGTACAGAAAAAATAGTAAAATAAATTAATTGTTATTAAAAACTGAGAAATTTGCAAACAACTATATCAGAAATACGGCAGCAAGATTTTTCAAGGTAAAATAAAAACGAAGACCATTTTTAGTTGTGAAAAAATGTATTCAATTTAGTATTCTTACATTTAATGTCTACGTTTCTATTTGATCATTTTGTTTGCTTCTAAATATTTATTTAAAATTTAATTTTTGCAACTATCACAAACGTGATTTTTTAGCAGGTCTTCAATAGGACATTTGCAATTTAAAATTAATTTGTTTTACTCCCGAACAACTTTCTGCAAGGTATAGGTACATCCATATAATTTTTATAGCATTTATTTATAATTTGTGAAACCATTTTTGCTAGGGAATTAGGAAAAACTAGTCTAGACAATTCCGTGTATTTCTTGAATTCAATTTGAATGTTTTCTAATGAAGAGTCATTTTCTAGGCACTTCTTCACACACGCACTAGCTTGTTTGGAGTTAACCATTCAAATGTTTGGTGTTGTATGGTTTATTTCACAGACTAGTCACTTTATTTATAAACACCAATATTCGAG